GAGATCCGCCTGCCTCTGCCTCCCGAGTGCTGGGATTAAAGGAGTACGCCACCACCGCCCGGCACAATTTCTTCTCTTAATCCATGCTTCTAGCAGGTTTCCTGTTCCCCAATAACAGGTTTCTCTGCCAACACATTAAGCCAAATCATGACATACTGAAAAAATAAAAGAACAGGTTTATTTGAGCAAAGCAACTACCAGGTGGGTTCTCCAGTCCAAGATCAAGGCTGGAGAAGTCACAGCCCGAGCTAAAGCAGGGAGATTATATAGCCTGTAGGCAAGGGGTGATGACAGGTCAGCCACAAACTGGGTTTGTGCCCAAGTATGGTCAAAAGCTGAAATGCTTAGGTGGGGACTCGGGTGGCTGGCAACTCAGGGGAGAAACTGCCATAGCCACCAAGCGTGTGGAACTGGGCTTTTTAGTGCCTTCCTTTTTTGGCGATTCTCTGAAAGAGCACAGTTGAGAGAGAGAGAGAGGGAGAGAGAGAGAGAGGTTTTTAACTCTTTTGTTTGTTTTTTGAAATAATGTCTATGTAGTCCTGGATCTCACTCTGTAGACCAGGCTGGCCTTGAACTCACAGAGATCTGCCAAAAGGTGTGCACCATCATGCCCAGCTTATTTTTAACTTTTTAAACACTTCTATGTTTGTTTATGCCATGTGTGTGCAGGTGCTATGGAGGCCAGAAGAGGGTAGCCTGGAGCTGGAGTTTAGGTGGCTGTGAGCGACCTCTTATGGGTGTTGAGAACCCAACTCTGGTCCTTTGCAAGAACAAGCACTCTTCATTTTTTTAACTGTAATTTTATTTTATGTGTATGAGCATTTTGCCTCATGTGTATGAGCATGTACCTGGTGCCCAAGGAGGCTAGAAGAGGACATTAAAGTCACAGACTGTTGTGAACAGCTATGTGGATGCTGGGAATTCAAACCCAGACCTCTCTCTGAGAGAGCAGCCAGTGCTCTTAATTACTGAGCCATCTCTCCAACCCCAAGGGCATCATGATCACAAGCCTTTGGGCTTGCAAACAGTGGTTACATTTTCTGGTGGTTTAGAGTTGGGGATGGTTGATGCCTGTTTTGTTGATTTCCTATGAACCTACCCTGCTGTCTATATGCATTCTGGGGTAGTTGCTCTATGACAGCCCTAGTCCTTCCCCCCGCCCCCCTCCTTGAGACAGGGTTTCTCTGTGTAGTTTTGGTGCCTGTTCTGGATCTCGCTCTGTAGACCAAGCTGGCCTCGAACTCTCAGAGATCTGCCTGGCTCTGCCTTCTGAGTGCTGGGATTAAAGGCGTGCGCCGCCACCGCCACAGCCCTAGTCCTTAGAGAGACGGATTCCTACAGGTGCTCTGTCAGCTCCTCCTCCTCCCAGATCCTTATCATTTCCTTTACAAAGGCCTGCACCTGAGTCTTTTCTTGGAGATTCTGCCCTGGGGCCGCTAGAGCAAGTTTTCCCCTTCCAGCACAGAACCTGCAAGTGCCTGGGAAATTTTTTTTTCAAGATTCCTTTATTATGTGTACAGTGTTCTGTCTGCACCCTGGGAATTCTAATCCTCCTCTAGCCGCCCATAGAAGACCAAGCATGAGAAGCTCCATGCCTTAGTTTGAAACAGATTTGGGTGAGATTTTTATACCAGGGTTTCCTGCTGGGCACCTGGCTGTCCCTTCCTTCTTTCCACTTCTCTCAGCTCCACCTTTTTCTCTCTGCTTTTCCTTCTCTTCTTTTCTCCCTCCCCTCCTGTCTCCTTTGTGGATGTGTATGGATGTGTTTCTGTGCCTATGTGCAAGTGGAGGCCAGAGGTCGACTTGGGTGTCTCACTGAACATCTCGTTCTTTGAGGCAGGGTTTCTCACTGGACCCGGAGATCACTGATTCAGCTACACTGGCTAGCCGGCAAGCACCAGGGAGCCTTCCCCTGGCCCTCACAGTGCTGAGGTCACACATGTGCACCATGCCAGGGTGTTACTATTATTATTATTATTATTATTATTATTATTATTATTATTTCATTTACGGATTGCATTGGCTAATTTTTATGTCAACTTGATACAGGTGAGTCATTTTGGAAGCAGGAACCTCAACTGAGAAAATGCCCTCACTAAATTGGCCCGTGGCCAAGCCTATGGTACACTTTCTTGATAATTGATGTGGGAAGGCCCAGCTCACTGTGGGCAGTACCACCCTTGGTTTGGTGGTTCTGGGTGCTATAAGAAAGCCGCACTCCACCATGGCCTCTGCTTCATTGAGTTCCTGCCTCCAGGTTCTTGCCCTAAGTTCCTGGCCCGACTTCCCTGGATGATGGACTATAAAATAAGCACTAGGATGAAATAAACCCTTTCCTCCCCAACTTGCTTTTGGTCATGGTGTTTTATCACAGCAGTAGAAATCCTAACAAAGATACTTACTTACCTATTTATATATTTGTGTGGGCACTCACATGCCACAGTGCTCATGAGGAGCTCAGAGGACAGCGTTCAGGAGTTACTTCTCTCCTCCAGTGTGTGTGCCCTTAGCTGCGCGCCATCTCACCAGCCCCGGGCTGGGGTTTTATGTAAAAGCTGGGTATTCAAACTCAGGTCCTCACACTTGGGTTGTGAGCGTTCTGTCCACTAAGCTATCTCAGCAGTTCCCCGACACACTTCTCAGTAACTGTGTGCACGCATTTACTCTTCTCAGGCTTTGGTTCCGGGAAACTTGGTTTAGAAAAAGCTTTCAAAAACATATGCTTTAAAGTTCACAGGGAAGGGTTAGCGCTGTTTTCAGTGTGGCGCGGCTGAGCCAGGCCCATTCCTTCTGCGCATCCTCAGTTCCTTAATGCTTGATTTATCATTTACATATCTCTCTCTCTCTCTCTCTCTCTCTCTCTCTCTCTCTCTCTCTCTGTGTGTCTCTCTCTCTGTCTCTCTCTCTCTCCCTCTCTCTGTTTTTTGAGACAGGTTTCTCTGTGTAATCCTGACTGTCCTGGAATTCACTCTGTAGAGGCTGGGATGTGGCCTCTTTGGAGGCAGAGGCAGGATCTCTGAGTTTTAGGCCAGCCTGATCTACAGAGAGAGCTTTAGGACAGCCACGACTATATTGAGAAACCTTGTCTCAAAAAAACCAACCAAGACAAAACAACACTTTTATTTTTTGTTCGTATGTATGCATGCCCATGACTGCAGTTGTCTTTGAAGGCCAGAGACAGGGAATCATTTGCCCTTAAAGGACTGAGTTATTTATTCTCTTGCCCCAAACTTTATCTTTTAGAAGAGACAGGGACTGGGAATGTAGCTCAGTGGTCAAGCACATGCTTAGAAAATGTGAGACCCCCTGGGTTCAGCCTCTCAGCCTCAAAATAAAGAAACAAAGCGAAAGATACAGAAGTTTACAGTTACTGGATCTGTTTGTATGGTACATCCATTCATCATTTAAAAACTTTATCAGTCACATCCCCTGTCTGCAAAATAAGCCTTGTCTTCGCAGTCCCAAATCAAGCCTATTACTTTTACTATGGTATTCATGTATGAAAATGTTACCTGCCATGTGAAGTTTTCTACTCTGATTTTTTTTTTTTTTTTGAGACAGGGTTTCTCTGTGTAGTTTTGTGCCTTTCCTGGAACTTACTTTGGAGACCAGGCTGGTCTCTAACTCTTAGAGATCCACCAGCCTCTGCCTCCCGAGTGCTGGGACTAGAGGCGTGCACCACCACCACCTGGCCTTCTACTCTTTAGTTGTTTTTATTTGTTTGTTTAGTTTGCTTTGATTTGACACAGGATCTCAGTATGTAGCCCAGATGGACCTAGAACCCTAGATCATCCTGCTTCCACTACCCCAGTACTGGGATTTCAAGTGTGACTCGGCACACCAGATCCCCACCCGCCCTGCAGGACTGGGGATTGGATCCAGGGCCTTGTGCATGCTAAGCAAGCACTTTACCAACTGAGCTACATCTGTAGTCCCCGTGTTTAATAATAATTCAATATGTTAAAAATAGCTTCATGCCTTGGAGGCAGGTAAGTTAAATGAAGGGAATAATTAAACACTGAGATAGCTCTCATTAGGAAACTTATCTGGACGATTATTGAACCTGTATGATTTGCCCACAAGGACTAGGGAAACCTATATCCTGAGTTTTCCAAGCTCCCGCTGCTTTAGACTACTCTTAATTTTTGGTTCTAAAATACAGCTATCAGACCTGGGAGAGCTTTGCTAAGAAATATCCTAAAGGATCATGAGCTTGCTCTTACCATTTGGAACTATTACATAGGGGTGAAGTTTGGGCCAAAGATGATTCATTTACTTGAGAAACAGCTGCCCCATAGAACTAACTGGACTGAGTGGGTTAGAAAGAGGAGGAGGAGGAGGAGGAGGAGGAGGAGGAGGAGGAGGGTGTGAAAGCTGGAATGGCCCGTGTTGGGAGGGCTTGAGGGAGGCAGTGGGAAGATGGGGTGGACACGATCAAGATCCATTAACTTACCAAAGACTAAAAATTTTTTGAGACAGTCTCATTATGTAGCTCTGGCTGGCCTGCCTCTTTTTTTGTTTGTTTTGTTTTTTAAGCATGTGGACCAGGTTGTCCTTGAATTTATAAAGATTCTTCTGCTTCTGCCTCTGGAGAGGTAGATTTAAAGGCATGAGCCACCACACCCAGCACAAAATAATACTTAAAAGAAAAACAAATAGAGGCTGGAGAGATGACTCAGCAATTAAAAGCACTAGCTTTCTTTCAGAGGACCCAGGTTCAAGTCCCAGCACCCATATGGCAGCTCATTACTATCTGTAACTCCAGTTCTAAGGGATCTGGAACGTGCTCACACAGATATATGTGCAGGCAAAAAACGCCAATGCACATAAAATAAAAATAAAAAAGATTTAAAAAACAGAAAGAAAGAAATAGGGTCTGGAGAAATGATTCCTGGTTAAGAGCACTTGCTGCTCTGGATGAGACTCAAGTTCAGTTCCCAGTATTCACATGGCAGCTCACAACCACCTGTAACTCCATTCCCAGGGGATCGGATGTTCTCTTTTTTCCTCCAAGGGTACCTACCAGGCAATGTACATGGTGCATATACATACATGCAGGAAAAACACTCACATAAAACAAATATTAAAGAAAGAAAGGAAGAAATGGCTGCCCTAGCGTTCACAAGCATCTTAGCATTCCAGGCCAGAGGTCTTGTTCCACAATTGCTTCTCTTTCTTCTAGTGCACTGTTTTAATGGTTTTGCTTCCCAGAGACCTGTAGATGCTTAGGTGCCCTGCAGCTGCCTACAAACCAGATGGAGTCATTGTCAAACCCACTGACCATAGCCCCCTTTCCTGAGGAGCGTGTCTGGAGGGACAGCTCAGAGGAACACACTAAGAGATGCTGACCTGCTTCGTGTGGGAAGCTGCCTGTTTCCAGCGATCTGGTGTATCTGGTGTGATCTTACATGAACACTAGCATTTTCCACAAATATGGCTTCCCACTGCCATTAGGATCTGAGCCAGATCACCAAAGGAGAAACTTTCATGTGGTAAGAGCTGCAGAAGGAAGTGAATCCTCCTGGGCGGAGCTTCTTCACTGGCAACCCATGACAACCCATGAACCCACTTGATACTATTTATTAGTAAGGACAAAATGTATGGAAGTTATCTAATTTATTATCCATAACACAGATATGAGGTAGATATTTTTATTCTTCCTTACTTAAAGACTTATTTTATTTTTAATTATGCGTCTGTGTGTGGGTATGTGTGCCTGAGTGCAGGTTTCCGAGGAGGTGAGGCCTGAGGTGCTTGGATCCCCTGAAGCTGTAGATACAACCTTGAAACAACAGCTTCTGGTCGCGAGGAGCATACATCTGGAGAAGGCAGGGGATGAGGATGAGGATGCTGAAGGGTCCAGATCAGCACTTGATGCCTGCAAATACTTCAGCAGGTGATGGGAGCAGCATTCAGGTGTGGGCAGGTCAAGGAAAGTCTTAGGAGCAGAGAGGAGAGTGACTGCGTCTCTTTTTCCTTTCATAAAATCTCTCACTATGTAGAGTAGGGTGGCTTCAAACTCACAGAGATCCGCTTGCCTCTGTCTGTCACCATGTCCAGCTCACCCACCCCTTAGAGGCAGGATCTTAAGTGTGCTGGCTGACCTCAAACTTAATGTAGAGCTGGGTCTGGAGAGGTGGCTCAGTGGCTGAGAGGATTTGCTGTTCCTTCAGAAGATCTGAATTCAGTTCTGTCACCTACACAGCAGCTCATGACCATCTGTAACTCCAGATCCAGGGATCTGACAACTTCCTCTGGTCCCCGGAGCCACTGCACAACTGCACATATGTGGTACACAAACATGCATGTAGGCAAAATACCCATGCACATAAAATAAAAATAAACTTACAAAACTATGTATCCAAGGTTGACCTTGGACGCCCCATCCTCCTGAGTGCTGGGACCACAGGCATATACCACCATGCCGGGTTTCCTTTACTTCTTCCTTCCTAGCCTGGTCTTGACCTTGTAATCCTCCTGTCTCAGTCTTCCAAGTGATACCACTACAGGCTTATACTACCAATTCTTGCTGCTTCACTATGTTGTTCAGACTGACCTGGAATCTGGGTTCAAGCCATTCTCCTGCCTCAGGCGTTTAAGAAGTTGGAACTAGAGTTATCCACCATACTTCACTTAGTTCCACTGATTTTTTTTTTAGCATTATTTTATTTTGCATAGAAAAAGCTGAGGGTGAAAGAAGTTTAGTAACTGATGTGAGGTGCTCTGCTTTATTTTACTGATAGCAAGTCTGTGCTTCAAGCCAGATCTGTTCTGAGTTCAGGTCATATACTTAACTCACCATGTTCTGTATAGCCCACCCCCATGTGTGATATAAAACAAATAGCTGGATCTTGAACATATTCTTCAAAAGTCTATGTAGTCTTTAGATTAAATTGGAATAGAAAAATCAGTCTTTTACACAGGTGTCTGTTGTTTTGGGAGGCCAGGGATTATATAACACTAAATCTCATCCAGGCACTGGTGGTGCACACCTTTAATCCCAACACTCAGGAGGCAGAGGCCAGCAGATCTCTCTGTGAGTTTGAGGCCAGCCTGGTCTACTGAGTGAATTCCAGGACAGCCAGGGAGGGCTACACAGGGAAACCTTGTCTTGAAGAACCAACAAACCAAACCAAACCAAACCAAACCAAAACAATTCCACCCACTAAATATCCTTCCTATTTAGTGAGAACTCTACTTTTAGAGTCTTGATGGGAGAGTCCCTGCTTATGGAAGCTGGAGAAGGCCGAACCCTCCTGCCTCTGCTTCCTGGCTGAGCTCATGGGATGCTGTAGCCAGAAAGATGCTTAGAGGCGGACAGAGCAAAGACACAGGAGCCCTAGAGGGCAGCCATAGCAGACGATATGGAATAGACCAGCAGTGGCTGTGACTATGGGTGACGTTCCTGTAAGTCACCACTTTGGCAAGGTTTCCTGTTGACTCAGCTCCACTGGTTCCTGCTTGTTTCCTGGGATGAGTACCCCAGACTTCCCACCCATGCTGTGACCTCCAACATCCTTCTCACATGCTCCCGTTCTGTTTAGGTTAACTGCAGAGGCTGAAACCGAGAACTGGACATTACAAAACGATGCATGCATTTGCAGTTGCCTAGCTGTAGCCAAAGATAAACCTGTGTCTTCGACTCCTGAGGATGATTAAAAAAGGTTGGCTTTTCTGAGACCAAAGCTGGGATGTAGCAGTGGTTTTGGATTTGGGTAACAGTCATCTTTTGTACATGGGCTAGGAGCAATGAGTTCTAGTCTTTTTAGCCAGATCTCCAGGGCTTTGCCCAGAATGCCTGCTTCATAGCCGTATTTTATAAAAAAGTTTTCTCAAATGTAGTCAGGCTTTCTTTTGTGGGACCACCAGCTCCCCAATAACGACATGGAGACTTAATATTATGAAAGCTTGGCCTTAGCTGAGGCTTTTTTCCAACTAGCTCCTATAACTTCAATTAACCTGTCTCTCTTTCTCTCTCTCTCTCTCTCTCTCTCTCTCTCTCTCTCTCTCTCTCTCTCTCTCTCTCTCT